AAGAGAAATGAAGTACTGTAAAAATACATTTTCTGTTTTGTGTGTTGAACTAAAGTCACATCCAGTGTTTTGCTGTGATGGTTTCTAATGATTTCCCCCCTTTCTTTCAGATGAAGAGAAAGTTGGACCATGGCCCCGAGGTCCGATCTTTCCCTTCAGGAAAAAAGCCCTGCAAAGGCCCAGAGTATCCAAGGTACCCTTTACCTCTCTGTTGTCCAACAGAGGCACAGTTGTCTCTGTACTGGAATGAATTTCAGTAGAAAAATATATTAAATAAGCCTGTTATGAAGATGAATGATGAAAGTATATCATAAGATTTGAGCAAAGATGCTATATATCTTTAACCAGAATGCTTCACATCACATTGTATGTCTAGCCTCCAGCCAGCAGATGCTTCTGTAACTGTGAATATTTGATGCATGTGTTAACATGTATCTACATTAAAATTCAAACTGAACACAGGCACACAAGTGTAAATGCTGCCATGTACGTAACTCTGGCTCCAGCTCAGCTTCCTCTCCCATTAAAAATGAATGAATATTGAAATAGACTCTCAGCTTCCCATTTTGCTGTCAGCAAGCACAATCTGATGTATCGGGGGGGTGCCCACTGGATGGTTTGTCCTGGGTCTGTCCACACTTTGGTGTCTCTGAGTCAGAAACACGCACTCACTTGCCAGTTGAATAGGTACACCTAGCTAAAACTAATGCAGCCCTGCAATCACAATCAATCAGATTTAGATTTCTTTATGCTAGAACAGTCTTAACTTTTTGAGTTCTATAAGAACATTAGAGTAGTTGTTGGATCTGAAGGCAATAAGCGGCTTCTTGGCTGTGTAAATACATGAGATTTTCCCCTTGATTATCGCACATTTGTTCATCACTTGTACATAGTAATAAAAGAATGGGGCTTCATTTAGGAAATTGCCACGCACTTAAAAGAAAACACTATTTTTATTTGACTTGCCTGCAAGAGAACACACATGCTTTCAGCTGAGGCTTTTACTGCTTAATCCAATCTGTGATAGGCAAACATGCTTTCAGAGTACAGCTTTAAATATTTCACTTAGCAGTATTTGCTGTTCCAGTGAACCATGGGGTATCTTTTGTAATATCTCTGTTGTCAAATTAATTTGGAGTGGAAATATCTGCAAAAGCCACAACATAAGTAATCAGTAGACAAATAAACCCCCTCATGCTGTTTTTATTACTGTTGTTGCTAATAGCGCATCCTCAATATGTCTGTAATGTTCTGGTATTGTTTTTTTTTTTTTTTTCTTCCTCAGTACTTCCACTGCTTTCACATCCTTGCTCTGTCTGCCCTATTTGTCTCTAATATTATATTAAGTTTTTTGTTTTGTTTTGTTTTTCTTTTCATGGAAATTGCAGCCCGACGGGAATTGTCCCATGTCCGGCCACACCCACCACATTTGGCCACATCAGAACAGCCAATGGTCAGGGGCAACAGAGGCGGCGTATCACCTCAATCCAGCCACCCACGGGTCTCCAAGAATGGCTCCGAACATTTCAGGTGAGTCTTATCCTTCTCTTTTTTTTTTTTTTTTTTCACCGTGGGTGACTCCAAACCCTCGAGCAAAAGCTTATCAAAAAGCAGATGATGTGCCCAATCGATGTTCGCTTAGCCTCAGAGATAATTGCTGCCTTGTTGTTCTGGCCCACCACATTACCATAGGCACTGTAGCGTGGAATCAGCTGTACCTGTTCAGACTAAAAAGGAGAGTTATATGATCACGTCTACTGTAGACTTGTATTCATTTTCCCATATGATCAGAGTCTGTACAGATGCATCGTAATAGAGCCATTTCTTCCATGTTAGACTTGAGCTCTAATCATTCCAGACCTTGTGGAAATAGGATGTAATTTAAACATATTAGCCCCAATGGAGTCTGTGATTTCCTGTATAATACATTGCAATGGATTTTATTACCTAAGAGAGTTTAAACTCATTATGTTTGAATGGCTGGGTCACCGTGTGACACCTCATTGTTTATTTTACACATATTGGTCCTCAGGCCTGGCCTACCACAGTTCACTGTCTTTAATCAGGCTACAGGCAGCACAGACCTCAAACTTCTCCATATTGCTCATACTGGACAGTGGAACGGCACTACAAAGTAGCATACTGTGACTAGTTTTTCACAAAAACCCCTGGTGTTATTTTGGGACTTGGCACTGAAAGATAAACACAAGGATGCACATTGTCAGGGTGATGTTACAGTTTACATTAGAGGATTACTTTGAGATTTTAGCCTTTTTGCCAAGAGTTTGATGAGAAGACCACTCACCTCTGTAAACATGAAGCTATAGCCAGCAGCTGATTAGATTAGCTTAGCATAAGGATGGCTGACCTGGCTCTGTCCAAATGTAATGAAATCAGCCTACCAGCACATTCAAAGCTTGCAAAATGACCTGTTATATTGTGTTTGTTTAATCTGTACAAACCCCAAAATGTAAAACCCGACATATGGAGACATTATGGTGGTTTGTGTGTGAATATTTTTGGCCAAAACATAAACTGGATCTGTTATTTTGATACAACCGATATATACACAGTTCAGCGATTAGAGTAAAAGCCGCAACAACTACATCATCACATCTTTAGTGACTTTGGATCTCCTAGTAATCACACTTCAGTGATCTGTGTTTTGGTTGCTGTCTTTTTGAAAGAGTTGTCTTCAGTCAGAAATTAAGTAGCAGATACTTGAGTTTTTCTGAGTGCCTGAACCGAGGCATTTTATCAGCAGCCCATCACGATGATCAAAAGAGTAATGCTTGTGCGTGAGCCAGCCAGTCTGAATGTTCAAGAATCATCGCTGGGATCAGATGTTGACTGCCGGTTTGCGTCACAGCCATTTCCAGGGGACTGTTGAAAGAAATGATGTGAAATTTAAGAAATGAGTAACTGGGAAGTTGTCCTGACATATTAAGAGGAAAGATGGTTAACAAAAGGAGGATAAACTACAGTTAATCACTGGAGTTTATCCTGGAAACTGGGAATAC